AATATTTATTATATGATAGTTGGCGTTTTTACGCAAACACATCAGCCTGGTTAATAGAAAGCTTCCCAAACCAGGGTAAATCCTCAGAGAAATGAACGTCACTATGTGAGGATTCATGGGAGGAAGCTGGCTGACCATTTCCCGCGGTGACAACATCCAACATGCTGGCCGCAGTGTTTTCTAATTCTGGTGAAGTGAAGAGTTCGTGGTTCAGAGCCTGGCACACAGTGGGTGCTCCAGGAACACAGGCCATCAGCTTGGAGAGGCGAGTAACAAAACGTGGGTACCTTGGGCGCCTAAACGAAAACTTGCACAATCTGAAACTTGACGTGTACATTTCCCCTATTGATTTGACCCAAAGTATTAAATCTCTCCTAGGCTCCCTTTGAGCAGCTACAAAATCACTGTGTCCATCAGTGGTTCCCAAGAGCCATCCCCCAACCAATCTGGGCTCTGGAAGTTCCCACCCAGCTGGGGCAGAATGAAGAAAGTCAGAACACGGCCGTGAATTTTCATAAAACAAGATGTATTTCATTTAAAGCCCGATCCTTTCGTTTGAGATGTGTCCTGTTTTTAAAGCCTAAAAATGCCTTTTTTTTTTCCCCTATGAAATAATAATGAAAGTAGTTAGAAGTTCGCTTGCCTAAATGAATTGATGGAGCAAAGCAAAAGCCCCCAGGTCAGTCTCTCCTCTTTGTTGTTGCTGCTGCTGGCGAGGAAACTTACCAACCCATGAAATCCAAATTTCTGGGTGTCACTGACCTTACATAATCGACGTAAACTCAGTTGACTATAAAAGCAATCAGAAACGTGAGCTCAAATGTAGAATGATCAAGAGTTAGGACAGGTCAACTCTACTGCCAGGGGAAGTATGCGTCGATTACCCGCCCCCACATCACCCCGCGTTAGGCGGCGTCATCCAGAGATGAAAACACAGAGCTAGTCATTCTCCTTCACTGTTCACAAGCCCGCTGCCAGGGCACTTCTAGCTACATGTCACACCCCGTGTACACACCTTGCAGAATTTGGGGTGTAAATTTCCCACCCCCCCACCTCTTTGTCTTGCTAAAGGAGTCAAGGAGAGGGAAGATGCTTTACCTCCTACACGATTTCTTGCCAAATTTATAGAAACAAAAATGAAGAATATAAGCGATTAAAAGGCAACAAGCGTTGCACACTGATGGTGTCTGCTGCAGTGTCCTGTAATGGGCGGGGGTGTGGTGGTGAATGAATTGAGAACACAGCCCTGCTCATTCCTGAAAGCCAAGCAAAACCTCCCGATCTGCTGAATTCCAAGCCACGGAGGACATCCTTCGGGATCTCACTGCCTGGCGTCCCACCTCTCTTTTCTTCTGGGGAAACGCTCATTCGGCCAAGTTCAGACAGAATCTTCACTGCAGGACTCCACACAGGACTTACCTCATCCGGTCGGAACGCACGGTTGGTTCAGAGCTGGGCACACACCAGGCCGGGCCAGAGTCCTCCGTGGGAATTCCTCTCTCCAGCTGGGAAGATGGTCTCAGCGTGCCAGCCTGGGGCGGCCTGGGGGCACTTTCATGGCTTCACGGGAGATGCTGGTCTAGGAAAGGACCGTTTGAGCTTGGCAACGTCAGGGGCGGGCTGACCGAGGGCCTCAGCGCACGGGTGGGACTCTGTTCCTGAAGCTCCCCCTCCTCTGCCTTGAGCCTCTCCAGGACCTTTCCCAGCCGTGCCAGACAGCAACATCCGTTTTAAATTAAGTTGGTCTGAATTGCGTTTCTGCCCCTTGGCAACAAAAATCCTAACAGATACACCGATAAACATAGAAATTTGGAGTAAAGTTTAAATCCTTCTTTTTGTCACAAGCAGTCATTCAAGGGGAAGGGGTAACAGCAGGACTGTGGATGCATGGCTGACCCTGGCAATCGGAGGAGCTGCCCTGGCCCCTGGCTCCCAGGTGTCTGCCATTTAGCCACATCCAAGCCCCACAGTGAGTTTTCTCAGTCTCTTCCTTTAACTCTTCCCGGGTCTGAAAACTGCACAAACCTACATATCTCTGCCATCCACCTATTACCCTTTCCCTTCCCAAGACTCCATTCTTTTTTCTTGTTTCCCAAACACTTTAAAGAGGGAAGAAATCCCACTACTGTAAGCTCTGTAGGTCAGGGTCCATCTCCGTGTTATTGACAACAGTGATGTCTGGTTGGCGCTGTCATTCACTTTCCCTAAACTGCTCTGCTTATGTGAGGCTCCTAAAATTTTGGCAGGTGGTTTGAACTGTGTCATACTGAAAAGCCTATGTGTATTTTTTAAAAATTAATTAATTTATTTATTTTTGGCTGTGTTGGGTCTTCGTTGATGTGCCCGGCTTTCTCTAGTTGTGGTGAGCGGGGGCTACTCTTCGTTGCGGTGCGCAGGCTTCTCATTGTCGTGGCTTCTCTTGTTGCGGAGCGAGGGCTCTAGGCGCATAGGCTTCAGTAGTTGTGGCACGTGGGCTCAGTAGTTGTGGCTTGCGGGCTCTAGAGCACAGGCTCAGTAGTTGTGGCACACGGGCTTTGTTGCTCTGCGGCATGTGGGATCTTCCCGGGCCAGGGCTCGAACCCATGTCCCTTGCATTGGCAGGCAGATTCTTAACCACTGCACCACCAGGGAAGCCCTATGTGTTTGTTTAAATGACGGTTTTCCATCGCTTTATTCTAAAAATGCTTTGAATCATCACAGAAATTGAGAGGAAGATGTACATCTCTTCATTACAGCATGTGCTGCCTGGTATTACTGTTGCTTTTTATCTGTCTGTCACCACCAGACTGTACACGCCTGTGAGGAGAGACAGCACGTCTTACTGAATTTGTATGTCCAGCCCTTAGCATGGTTCTTTGGCAGTCACGGTGTCCGATGCCTGTCCATGAGGTGCAGGCGATTCTTACAACTCTGTAGAACCTTGCTTCTCAAAGTGTGGTCCGTGGGCCAGCAGCGTCGGAATCACTAGGAGAGAGGGCTGCAAATGCAAAATCTGGGCCCCACCCCGGAACTGCTGATTGGGAGTTGCTACCTGGCGTGCAGAGAGAGCTGGGGTGATCTTGCAGAGTCAGGGGCTGATTGATGGGAGAAGGGAGAAGGAGGGGGAGTCAGGGGTGGATGAGCCTGCAGGGCTGGAGTGAGGAATGACAGTGAGCCCCAGGGGAAGACCGGCCAGCCAGAGGAGGATGCCCCTGTAGGAAGGAGTCAGTTCTAGGGTCCTGTGCCCTGCAGACCGTCTTTATTCATACAGGACCCCCTCCCTCGCTGTGGAGAAAGGCAGTAGAGAAAACCTTCACTGCTGACGGGAAAAGACCAGAAGATCACGCCTTCTCCTTCTCCCACCTTTAAACTTAGGATCTAGGTGCTCTGGTTTTTGTATCCAGGGGAGACAGGCTCATAAAAGCAGACGGCGATCAGGTGCTTAATCTTAGAAACTACTGATGCGTTAAAATGAAAACATAAATTAGCACGGCCACTCCAGTCCCTAAATGAATCGGGTTTTGGCACTCTGCTTCTGTAGGAGCTCAGTAAATGATTTCCATTTGAAAACACAGCTCAAGGAGCACTTAATAAGTGCAATTTGATGATGATGATTCGCATAGCAGCTCCCTATGAATCCAGTCAAGCCAATGCTTCCGGGGAATAGTAATTAGAAAACCAAGTCCAGGACACACCCACGGAAGGGGGCCTCTTGGGGATCCGAATGCAGTGTGGTCAACGGCAATTCCGAAACAGCTGGCTGAGCATTTTCCTGCTTCAAAGATCTGCTTCCCTAACCTGCTCCGCCCGGTACCCATCCCCACTGCTGATCCTGAAAAACCACCCTAAGCAAATTCTTTTGACTCTGGAGGTAGCAGTTTAGGGAAAGGCGTGGAGAAGCGGGCCGCTGGAGAACGGGACTCCGCAGGGGAACCTCAGGAACGAAATAGGTCACCGGGCTCCCGGGCAGCGCTGCCCCGCCCCCGCGCGGTGCAAGCCCCGACCGCCAGCCGGGGTGGGATGAGGGGCCGCGGCAGCGAGGGTGACAGTGCACTTCCCCGCCTCCGGGTCGTCTCGCTCCCGCAGGGCGCTGGGGGGCTCTCGCCGCCCCGCGCCCCGCGCAGCCCCGACCCCTGGGGCGCGCGCCGGCCTCTCGGGGCTCCGGCGGCGGCGGCGGCGCGCGCGGGCGGGCACGGGGCGGGGAGAGCCCCCCAGCGCCCTGCGGGAGCGAGACGACCCGGAGGCGGGG